GTTTCCTTGTAAGATAGCCATTTTTAAGGCTTTTAAAGTATTTTTTCAGGCTTATTAGCTATTCGTATTGTTTTACATTTTTTGGATCCAAAATTTTTTATTGAGCAGGCAAGTGAGTCGGGGGGTGACAAAAAGCTGGGTACATTTTGTGGGCATAAATATTTGCTTGTCGGCGGCGTTGTTCTACTTCTTTTGGCCGGTGATGAAGAGCACGTTGTTGGACAGGTTGCTCTTGATCGTCTTCGGGTCGACGCCCTTCGGCAGGTGGTAGCACCTGAAGATACGGATTTAGATGATTTTTATGTTTTTTACATCGATTTGGGATATAATTTCCAGTCGTAATCAGATTTCCGGGGTTTTCTGGTGCTTTTGTATTATCGGGGGAGGGGGGTCTTTTTTTGTATTTTCTAAATGTTGCTAGCTATTTTCTATTATTCTCAAATTAAGAAATCGACAGGTTTCCATTAAAAAATACAAAAATTGCTATTTTCGACCAGATTTTCAAATTTTCAGAGGCTTTTTCTAGTTTAAATATAGTTATATTTTACTAAAAACGCTATTAAAATACTTGCAATTATTAAGATATAAGGCATTTCTGGGCTTATCAAAAAATTCGTCCCCCGATAATGCCAAAAAACCTAATTTTTAAGTAACCGTTTGGGCTGAATTTTGTGGCGTAACCGATTATAGTGATTTCAAAACTAGTTCTCGCTTTCGCTACCGTACCTGCTAATCGCGCGGGTGACCGAGCCGAACTTGTCGTTGCGGATCTCGTGCTCGAGGTTGATCTGGATGAGGTCGTTGATCACCTTGACGCTGATGTCCTTGGCGGTGAAGTAGGTGGCGTCGAGGCCCACCTCGAAGTGCTTGTCATCTTCGTGGACCTGGAGATGTTCAGGGGTTAGATCAAGGCCTATAGTTCTTACCCTGACAACGCCGTCCTGTCCCTGGAGGGGCCAGTCCCACAGCTTGTCGTCGTGTCCCTTCAGCTCCATGGTAGTCATCTGCAATTTTTTTTAGGGTTTTTGCAGCTAGATATTTGGGTTCTATGGCATTATCGGGGGTGGTGGTGACATTTTTGTATTGAAAATGCAAAAAAATATAGATTTTCGATCAGAATTTCGAATTTTTGAAGTTTTTTTGAGATAGTTTTCCACTTTAAATAGAGCTAAATTTTTTTATATGTTTAAATTTTTTAGCTTAGCTTGAAATGCTTAAGCCTAAGCCAGAATCTAAGCCGAAGCCAAATCTTAAGCCTGAGCCTACGCCTAAGCCTAAGCCAGACCAAAGCCTAAATTCAAGCCTAAGCCTAAGCCTCGTTTAAGCAAAATCCTCAGCCACACCTTAAGCCCAAGCGTAAGTCTAAACCAAAGTCTACGCCTAAGCCTAAGCCAAACTAAAGCTTAAACTCAAGCCTAGGTCTAGGCCTAAGCCTAAGCGTAATCGTAAGCTACAACTTGGCCGAAGCAAAACCTAAGCCTAAACCTAAGCCTAGTTGTGAGCCCATTAATAAGCCAAAGCCAAGAACCCACCTTGAGTTAGTAGTAGTTGTTGGTTGTGTAGCGAATTGCTTGGCTTCAGCCACCTTCAGCGTCCCTTTATACCCCTCCAAGCCGGGCCATGGATAAACAACCGTAAAGGCACAGTTGTCGGGAATCGTTAGCCTACAGGAGAAGCCGACGGCGGCGCGGCTGTTGTTTTTTGGCCGTAGGGCCCTCGTGGCCCTCCCCCCATGCCCCCGGAGATACCTGTGGAAAACAGGGCCCCGGCTGTAGCCTTCGGTATACGTGTTTGCCGCCGGATTTCGAGGATTCCCCTAACTCTGTGGGGATCTGGGCCCTCTCCGCGGGCCCAATATCTTGGGCCCCAACCTTAGGGCCCAAAATACCCGACCAGGGGAAACCATGAGACACCGTTCTGTTTTGACCTCGCGGCGCTGAATAGCCCGCCAAAAACAACTCAATGGCGTTGAAGGATCCCGACAACAAGTTTTGAAACTGGCTACCACGATCCTGTGAAGACATGTGGCTGTAGAGGTTTTTTGCAGCGAGGAGATGTACTTTAGGCGTTCGTTGATCTGGCGGCTTTTGAGGGATAATTTTGCCGGGTTTTAACGTTTAGAAAAATTACCTTTTAACGGCTTTTCCGTAGCGGCGTTACGTAGTTTTATTCGTAAAACTAATAATTTTAGTTAGAAAAATTGGTACTTCTTCATTATCGGGGGACCTGATTTTTGTATACGTCCAGTGGTTAGCAACGTAGCAGTAAGTATTTTAAGACGGTTTCTAGTAACATTTAACTATATTTCAAGTAAAAAACTATATTAAAACTAACAAAATTTCTATAATTCGAAATTCTGTCAAAACTCGACCATTTTTGATCGAAATCGACATTTTTATATTTTTGAATACATTTTTGGTTTTTTATATTTTTGTCAGTTTTTGCGTTTAGTAATGGTAATGAACTGTTTAGAGATAGTTTCTCAGTTTCATTAGGAAAATTGGGTACTTTAGAAAGAGTTTGCTGGTTTGTAATGTTCAATTTTTTATGGCAATCAAATTTATGATTTTTAAAAACGTTTTTCGACACTTATTAGGCATAATGCACGCTGGATAAAATTAATGGATTCCCGCGAATTTCGGTGTTTACTCAACCTTTAAACTATAGAATAAACAACATCTCAAGCTTTTCCTCCTCCTCGAGTTCCACGCTGTAAAGCGCCGGCTGGGCGTCACAACATAGGCGCTGCACTTTACTGGTTTTTCCGCAGTTTTAGGGGTTTTCTGTTGTTTTTAATAGTTATAATAAAATAACAAAATATATAGTCTCATTTTTCACTCTTTCAGGCAAGCCAGACGAGCGCAAACGATACGCAACGTCGACCGGGAGCGCCGCGAGTTTGCCGAACTTCTCGTGCAGTCCGTTTCCCGGGCGAGGCGCTCGGTGGCGTCAACTGTAGTCGAATCAGGTGGGTTTTTGGAAGCCCTACACAGTTTTAGTCTTTTAGAAACGAAAATTTTTACAAATTGCTATAAAAAAATCAAAAGGATCGATTTTTTTTGGCCAAAACTGGTCGATTTTCAAGCAAAATTTCGATTATTTAAATTTTTCGAGGGTGTGTAAATAGTTTTCGCACCTTAGATTTATCTATTTAAAGAAACTATAAAATACGTTGCAAAATCGTTGTTAATAGTGGAGAAATATAGATTTTTCGAGCAAAATTTCCATTTTTAAAGGATGAATTTCGTGGCATAACCGATTATAGCGTTTTCAAAGCGATTTTCGGCATAAATCCGGTGAGAAAAATGCAAAAAAAAAAAATGGAAAAATGACTAATTACTCCCTATAAGCTTCGTCAAAAAACCAATCCCTTTTCAGCAAAATGCGAGCATATCGACCTGGTCGACTGCTCCGAGTACGACAACCAGGAGATGAGCTGCATGCTGACGGCGTCGGGGATGACGTGCTGCGTGTGCCTCGGGCGGTTGGAGCTCATCAAGGGAGCCTCACGGTTTCTCAGGTTGGTCCTGGCAAGATTTCATCCTGGGTTTCTAATTTCCTACCTGTCCCTTTCTTTTCTAGATAATCCCCTATCCCCTTCCCTGGCGGTAAGTCCGAGTGCGGGGCTTAACTTTTAACAAGCGCTGTCGGCTATCTAATGGTTTTATATGGCCTAGAAAAGCTTCAAAATTCCATTACAGGACTCAGGACGGTCCGGCGAGACGGAGATTGCACAAATCACGGACGAAACCGCTGGAGTAATTAATTTTTGCACGATTTTGGAGGAAAAATTAGCAAATGTCGCGCGGTCCGCACGCGTTGTTAAGTATTAATGATAAGGATTACGGCCCTAAAACACCGTTTCCCTATAAAAGTAAGTAAATTATGCTCTGATACCTTAAATTACGAATTAGGAAATATTTTACGAAATGTTTTCCTTAATGTTTATCATCTTACAAAGTTCAGTGAGAAAACTCTATTTTGCGAACCCGGCGAAATTTGCTATTCACCACTTTTTACTCTATTTAAGACCCTCCGGACCCTCCCCCCGATAATCGATTAGCTCCAACTTTTGGAGCGTCTATTTTACCCTGTACCCTGTACTTTGTATCCCCAGGTGCTCAACGTCGTCGTTAGGAATCTATTGTAGTGTGCGGTGCTGACGTTCAGAAATAGTTGCCTAGTCCGTGTCACTTGAAAAGTGTTTTATTTTCCATTTTTCATGGGCTCCTCCGCCCACAAACTCATTGTCTCGATTCGGTCATTCACTCAAACATACGAGTTTACCGTCCCCTCCTGTTGATCTCGTCCTTGTGATTTCGGTTTTGCACTTTTTACCTATGTAATAAAAAGTTTGTGATATAGGGTTGAACCGTATTTATTCAAATGCACCAAGCGGAGATCACAGGAACAACAATTTTTCGTTAGATTTTATTCTGGCTGACCAGCTGCTCCAGCTCGTCCTCGGTTTTTCGGAGATCCCTGCGTGAAGAAGCGTAAAATATAGGACTAGAGGCTCCAAAAATAACGCGTGGATAGGCGCGTAGCGGTAGGGGACTGACTACGCTAGGATACACTGGGCACGGTTCTTCCATGCGCGCCTTGCCCTTTCGGTTAACGCGATTTTCAGTTAATCCGAAAAAGCAATACCGCGTGGATAATCGCAGAACGTCGCCCTAGATGGACTACGTACGACTCCAATACACATGCCTATTAGCCGGTCTCTGTTTTAAGCTAAATTTTGCCAAAGTCGTTGCAAAAAATAGGCGTGGATAGGCGCGTCGCGGTGGTATGCGTTAGACTACGCAAGGCTCCAGTAAACACCCTATTTTATGCGCGCATTGCACTTTTTCTAGCCGCATTTTGTTCATGCTAAAACTGCTAAAGGCAGTGCACAAAAAATACAGAGGCGCGTAAATCGGCGCGTAAGGTAGCCGTAGATTGAACTACGCAAGGGTCCAATGCACACGGGTATTTTATCGTGCGAAAACCCAGCCCTACCCGGGCAGCTTCTGCTCGTCTTTCTGCGGCGCTTCCGTCATATAATACGTGGCGTCCTTGCAGAAGCCGCAGCTCTTCGCGCAGTACATCCGCATCGCCGATTGGCTGCAATTTTTCGTAGCACCCTCGTAATCGTAGCAAATACCTACCTATAGGGATGGTCACAAACGCCGGTCGTCGCCAGCTGCTCGCACGTTTCCAGCTCGTCCTTGCAACGAGAGAGGCCCTCTGAAACAGTATTTATAAACAGCGGATGTTTCTAAGTGATTTTTTACTATTCCTACACATGAAAACTTCACAAATGTCTATTAAAAAAACACAGAAAACATCGATTTTTCGACCAAAACCGGCCAATTCCTCACCAAAATTTGGAATAGAAATTATTCGAATTTTTTTGGATTGCTTTTCACTTTGAATATCGTTCCATTTTACTAAAAACACTATTAAAATATTTTTTGTTGAGTGACCAGGCATTTATCGACTTGTAAAAAAATTAGCTCCCCCCGATAATGCGAAAGCTCCGGGAGTATAGCGTTGTTCATTTTACCCAAAAACGCTGGCATCGTCGGGCAAGCGTCGCACGTTCGAGGGCAATACTCGGTGGCTCGCTGTTTTTACATCTAAATGTTGAATTAATTTTGGTATTTTTAATGGATTTAATAAGCTTTAAGATTCAGCTTTTAACTTTAAATTTTATTTTTTTAGGATTTAATTTTTTAAATTTTAAGGAAGACTTTCGCGATTTCAAGAGGATGCGTACTTACCCGCCCTTCTTCTTCACCGAAGCGCAGTCGATTTTCTCCGAGTCGTAGCAGAGGAGGCCTAAAAGACAGGCAGGACTACGCTACGCTCCTATAGCCACTTACCATTGCAATTCTTGCACTTTACCGGGCACAGCTTTAAATAATACCCAGGCCTCGTTCGGCAGGTTTCCTCGCTGATATGGGCACACGTTGTGACGTCTCTATCTCGGCAGCCTAGGCTCAATTTCTAAAAGTTGACCCCGGGATACAGTACCCAATAGCGTGATCAGATCCATCACCCGCATATGCGACTGGTCGACTCCGGTGGCTGGTGAGGGGGCCGAGATCTTAAAAAGTAAATTATACAGCATAAAAATACCTTAAATTAAAAGCAGGAAAATGTTCCCAAATAACCTATGCTGGTTTGCCAGGTTACGCGCTTCTCCTATATGGCGTCGCGCGATATGCAATAGCAGAAAAATTTCCGGTTCTTTCGCATTATCGGTGGGGGGGTAATCAGTGGAAACCAAGTTTTTTGTAACTACTTTTTCTTATATAATAGAGTAAGCATTTCTAAACTGTTTTTTGTTATTTTTTTCAGAAAGTTTACAAATGTTACTAAAAATTTCAAAAATACATAGATTTTTCGATTAAAAAGTAGATTTTTTAAGTTTTTAAAAGGGTTGTGGATAGTTTTACGCTAGAAATATAGTTCCACCTGCTCCTCCCCCCCCCTGATAATGCGAAAGCACCTAGCTTCCGCAATAATCCTTGCTAGCTTGCGGCCTTACTACTCTCCCTCGAACTCCTCAAAAATTTCCGCAGAAATATTTGCTGGCTTTCCATCCCACTCACTGTGCATAGAATTTCCCAAAAATCTCTGCCAGCCTGCCCCTTCTCCTTACCTCTCCGTTCGGCTTCTCCGATTTTCGCGCTTTCCTCCCATAATTCCGTGTCTCATGCTCCGGCTCGGCGTCATCCGAGTATGCGTCGAAACGCTCCACAGCGCCCTGAAAGCCGTTACTGGAAGTAGTCCCCAATCTACCGTATCCTCCTGCGGCTCCAGCTCCAGGTGTCGGCCACGGGCTGGCAGGTGGTAGGGAGAATCGGTGAATCGCCATTCCGGTCCGTTCGGGTGCGCCGGGGTGAATGTTGGAACCATCGTCGGGTACTATAATTTGTTAAAAATCTAGGATTGAGAATTTAGGGAGTTAAATTGTCTATATTTTTCGATGTTTTGAAAAAGCCACCGAAAACGGCGCCCCAAAAATACTGCTCGAGAACATCAATAAAGTCCCCAAGCCCCCCGCTAACAGTCCAGTACCGCTCACCTCAGCGCTCCCTAACATGTTCATATCAACGGCATCTATCGTCAGCGGTTTGGGGTGGGGTATACGGTGGCTGGCACGCATTCGCCCGGGGGCTAGTCGATTGTAGCGTATCGTTGGCGGGGAATAGGTAGGGAGGGGGTGTTGTCTGGAATGGGTACGGTAGGAAGGGGTTAGAAAGGGCGCTGGCCTTCGAAAATGATGAGGGTAGAAGGGAAGGTCGTCTTTTTGGCCATCGTCAAGTAGGCTGTTGCGCCATAAGGCTACGTCACCGACGCCTGAGAATTGGTCTTAGAGAGCGAGAGGAAGAGAGACGGAGAGAGAGGGAGACAGAGAAAGCCACCAATTTTCCGGCAAAAATACATACCAATTCGCTGCGTAGGCACCATAAAATAAGGATTATACCGCGACGGCTGGGGAAGCCCTAAATTCCACTGTTTCCAAAGCATTTCCATTATTTCCCTATTTACGGTCATTTGCACGCGTTGCGTATGCGTTGCGGTCCAGGGCAACACTAATTATGTTGCGTAATGATATTTTTAAGACTGTAAAAACCCGAAAACTGACCGTTCATCAGTTCCTCCTGGGCCCAATCCGTGTTCTCCTCCTCGAGCTTCTCAAGTTCGGACTGAAAAATTGTAGAAACGTACTGCAAACTACAAAATACAACTAAAAATGGGATGAAACACTTGTAATTACTACACAATCCTACTAACTACAAGTACAAACTACAACAAACCATTTTCCGATAGTCATTCGTCGACTGTGCCCAGGCATGCGGCTCGCTCAGCGTCTCGTGATCGCCATCTGGCTGATGGTGGGATGGCATAGGGTCATCGGAGGTGGGCTCGCTCTAAAGGATCTTTTCTAAAACGCGGATAAACTACCGTAATCTCGGTCGTGAGCGGAAACACCTTCTGTGGGCGCGCAAACCTGATCGGGGTGCTTTCGGCGAGCACCGGCTCGGGTCTAATTTCGTTAGATAATTTTTATAAGCTTTTCGATACTCTTTTAAAGTCGTCGGCGGCTCGGCTGTATTCAAAATAATAGGATTGATGGGCTTCTCCTTTTTCGGCTTCTTCCGGATCATTTTTTTCGTGATGGCCGGGATTATTGTGGTGTGTAGGGGCCGCTGAAAAGCTTCAGCAAAAAAAAAATTAGACCTACTTCCGCCCCATCGCCATCTGGCTGTTCAAATCTCTAAATGAAAAAGTATAAATAAAATTCCTGATAAAAACCCACAATAGAAACGGTCGTCTGCAGCGTGGACGCTTGGCTTCTATCAAATATTTTGTATTTTAGCGGCTTTTTTGGATCTAGGAAGAGAGCGGATCGAAAAAGAAGAACACCTACCGATTTTTAGCCCCGCTCTAAGTGTTTGGTTTCTAGAGGGCGTGCATAGACCGCAAAGAATTGGGCAGTAATCCTAAAAAAACTACTTTCTTCGAAGGTACTCCGATACCTTGAGCATCTCCTGACATTCCGCTTTGCGCTCCTCATTACACGAGACGTACACCGAGTTTTCGCAAAAGTCTAAATGTACACAAAGCTTAAAAAGTTGCAAAATTCATGTGCAAACCGCCGCAGTCGCCGCAGGTTTTCCGGCAAAACTGGAGGGCGTACCCCGGCCGGACCGAGCAGTCGTTCGCATTGCAATATGGTGATTTGTCCAAACACTAAAAAAACGAAAAGTAATAGCGTAAAGTAGCATACTTGTCCGATTTGTCCATGTTTTGAGCCTATCACCCGTGCAACGCCAAACGCGATCAGTGACAGCAGCTTCATCGCCGCCGGCACCATTAGGAGACCTGAATAATAATTGATATTGTTTTCAATTTTCAATGCAAAAATTTATATCACCTAGCAACACTATCGAAAAATTAAAAAAAGAATTTTAGTAAAAAAATCGGCCCTTTCGGTCGAAAAATCGATCTTTTTGATATTTTTTAATACAAATTTGTAAAGTTTTCACGTTTAGGAATAGTAAAAATCTTTTAGAAACAGCCCGCTATTTATATTTGAAGAATTAGATCCTATAAAAAGTTGATCCCCCCGATAATGCGAAAGAACCTAGTATTAACTCGAACCTCCCAAAACCAGGATCACAATCGACTCAAATCGGGCCACAATTTTGGCGACGGAAGGGGGGTCGGGGTGGCGGCTTCTAAATGCTTTGTTAGCTATATTATGTGATTCTGGGGCCAAGAATGACCGTATGGCCATGATGGGTGCATGCGTGCTGGAATGCGCGTCGGTTTGTGTAGAGGGATCGGGTAGATCGGGTGAAGCTCCCCCAGGGGGCGAGAAGACGTGAAATCTGAGCCTGCAACCCCGTGGGCCCACTCGACGGCGTGTTAATTTGACCGCGATTCGGCCCTCAAGCCCCACACGTTTCCCTCCAGCGGGCTGTCAACTACTTTCGAACTTCGGGAATAGTTTGCTTCGGAAAAGGGGACCGTTTGGTAATAATATAGCTAAATATCGTAATCATCGACTTTCAAAAACCTTTAATTCTCAAGAGCCTTTCAAAAGTCTATTTATTACCTTTTTCAAAGATTCAGCGGTTTGGCAAAAATTATCCTTTTTATTTCCGTTTTCATACCCTTCACGGTCTAACTCCCTACGCCGTTGCCTATAGCGCGCCCTAGCAAATCCCCCACCGTACCCGAGCTCCCCTCCCGACGATCCGTGTGGAAAAGACGCAGAACAACCCTGTTCAGAAATGTATCAAAGTTTGCTAAAAACATTAAATTTTCTAGTTTTTATTTATATAACACTATTTATTTGAGTTTAAGATTACACAACACCCCCCTTTTCAGGCATGGAAATTGAAACGATGGACGAAGACCGATGTTTCGTGGCACGCGACTACTCGAAGGGGCTGGCCGTTCAATTCGACACCGAAGTGCCAGATATGCTTCAAGGAAGGGTGTGTTCTCGAATGGTTTTCGACTTGGAACAACATTTAGGTACGAGAAGCTGACTGGCGGAGAACGATACGGGCAATAAACGAAAAATTTACGGAAGCTGAAAGGGTATTTACACTTTTATACTTCTGATTTGGTTACTTTAGGTGTGCGCAGATTCGGTTGTCGAAACGTTGCTCGGGTGCGCGACATGCTATCTGATTCGTCTATTCGTGAAGACGAGATACGAGAAAAAACTGGACGAGGTGCGCGAGAGTTTATTGTATTGAGAGGTTTTTAGATCGACCGGCTACTCGCCCAAGAAAATAAAGAAGTCTACGGTCCAGTCGGCGTCCATATCCTCAACCCCATGTTTCGCGGACTTCGAGTGGTAAATCATCGTTTCGTTATTACCTCGCATGTTCGTTTTCAGATAGAGATCACGGTGAAGCGGCCTCGTTGATGAAGCATCCCGTTTCTATTCTGCAATTGTTTTCCTTGTGTATTTCCAGATTATATTTTTCATATCATGGTGCCCCCGTCTTTCGCTGCTATGCGATGACATTATCCTCCTGGCTGCGCCAGCGTCTTTATTGACTTTCATTCCCCCGCAAACAGTGCCTCTACCGCTCATACTATCCCCTTGCCCCAACCAAATTACATGTTGTATATTGTATATCTTGAAACTGTGATTAGCCGGTAAATAAATGGGTTATTGTGCGGCTGGGTGGCTGTTTTAAGTGCGGGACTTCGATATAATTTTATCGTTAATTTCTCAAAGGCACAATCATGAACCATTCGGAGCTGTGGACAGGCGGGTGCTACACGAGGCTAAACGGGGAGACGGAGCGGAAAGATTGGACTATGGCAAACGAATTTTTGGGAGGGGCATACAGCGTGGATAAAGTGGGACAAAATGCGAAGATATGGATTTCGGGGGTTAGGGGGATTTGCCGAAAAATTGGGGCATACACGTGTCTGTACAGGGCACCGATAAATATTGGCATAAATTAGGGAAATGCAATTCAATGCTGGGACCACTAGCCGAATTCGCTGATTCTGAGGTCTGGGAGCTAAAAAAACAAAAACGAAAATTTAGGATTAGCAAGGGAAAGGCTGAGCACCAACGGGGGAAGATATGCGCGGGGGTGATCGAGACAATGGCTTTTTGATTCTTTGCGCGAGCACTGGTATCTTTGGCGGGATGGGGGATTTGTCTGTTGCGAATGGGAGATTCTTTTGACTAAATATTTAGAAGGCTTTGGCTTAGATTAGAAGTTTATAGGCTCGGATGACGAGCGCCATCGACTAATCGAATCGCCTCGTCGTCGAGTGGCTCGTAGCTGCGAAGCTTCGAACTGAGGACGAACAGGCGATGGCCGTCGGCTTGGCCGCTGTAGCCGAGCCGTTGCAGATTTGTTTTGACGAGCTTGTAGGTGCCTGAAAAAAGTTTTGAGCTGGAATTTTAGCTTTCCACTTACCGGTTTTGTCGACGTGCGGACAGAGCCGGATAAACCGGGGCACTGCGTAGGACGGTAGCGAGTTTATCAAACGTTCTAAAATTTGGTTTTAGAGGGGCTTCTTCATTGGAGTTTGTGAATTTTTTTTGGATTCTACCCACCAGCTAGCGAATCCAAGAAGGCGTTCTCCGATCTTTCATCCCCTTCCGTTCTGACCACAGCGGCCATACCAGCGCGGCCTTCGTTTCCTAAAAAGAATAGTTTTTAGGATTGCTTAGGGGTTTAAGAGTTGAGAAGCCGTATTTATATAAGCTTATTATTACCAGGAACAGCCACGCCATACACCGTGGCATCGGCCACACCATCGGTTGGGTGGAGAATAGCCTCGACTTCTGTGGTGGAAACATTCTCGCCCTTCCATCTGGAGAAATACAGTACGATTATTGCTTTTCTGATCAAACCTGAAGGTGTCACCGGTACGATCTTTGAAATAGACGTATCCGAGTCGATCCCAATGGAGGAGATCCCCTGAAACGTGCATTTGCTATTTAATATTTTTCTTATAGCTTACCCGAAACGAAGCAGGAGTCGCCCTCCGCGAACACGTCGCGGATGATCTTCTGATCGGTCTCCTTTCGGTTCAAGTAGCCCTCAAATTGGAGCAGCGGGTTGTCGGCGCGGATTGTCGACACCATGGCGCCGGTCTCGCCCGGCTCGCAGGCTACGCACAAGCCGTTAGGTCGTCGTAGGACTTCGCCAGTGTCGCCATCGACTTTGATCAGGCGGACCTGGAATAGGGCGGTTGATTTTTAGGTATATTAATCAGAGGTAGCAAACCAACTTTTCGAACATGTTTTTTTCTGCGTTCCGCAATCGGAGGTACTAGACGATGGCTTTTAGCATTCTGCGTGCAGCTACCCCCGCCCAAATTTAATTTTCTACTCACAACTGATTAAGCAAGGAAAATTCTGCGTATTCGAACGTAAATTTCGGTTTTTTTCGCATTGTAGGGGTGGAGCCAACTTTTTTCTTCCAAGGATCTAAGGTTTTAAAGAGAAATGGGGGACGGTTTTACTATTCTTAAACATAAAAACTGCCACATTCCCATCATAAATACAAAAAAAATAATTTTTCGTGCAAAAATGGCCGAAGAATTCTAGAAATGTCATCAATACCCACCGGGTGCATCTTCTTCGTCAGCGGCGAGATGGGCAAGAACCCGCATGCCCCCACGTGGCCGTCGATGTTGACGAGATTCGAGGTACCCTCCGTACTTCCGTAAACTTCACCGATGCGTACGCCGAATCTAAAATCCACGGACTGCGAACCACAGCCCCGTTCTTACCGATCAACAAATTTTTGCCATATCTCCGCCCTCAGCCCGTTGCCGTACATCAGCCGCATGCGGTGGTTGTCCTCCTCGGCGCACTTTGGCTGCGCCAACAAATATCGGCAAATCTCGCCGATGTATTGCGAGGCCTAGAGTATTCAGAATATTATGCTAGGTGTAATTTTAAGCCCACCGTACACTCGTACGTCTGGCAGTCCATCCAGAAGTTGCTGGCCGAGAACTTTTTGCGGATGACGCAGCTCGAGCCGCGGACCAGGCATTGTCCGACGCCGAGGATGCCTTGAAGAGTTATTTTTGAAGACGGATGGAAGGATAGGCCGAGGATTAGGATTAGGCTTAGATTTTGGCCTAGGTTAAGCTTCGCTTTCGGCTTAGGCTTAGGCTTAGGTTTTAGGCTTAGGCTTAGGCTTAGGTTTGGGCTTGGACTTGACTTACCAGCAGCTGTATGATAAATTGGTAGCGACACGTAGATACGGTCGGACGGCCGGACGCCAAAAGCCAAAGCAGCTCCGCTTACCATCGAGTAGTACCTTAAAAGTCGATTTTATTTTCATTCCGGTCTCTCTCTCTCTCTCTCTCTCTCTCTCTCTCTCGCTGGCTTAACCTAAACCTACCGGAAGTGCTTCATTACAGCAGCCTTCGGAAGACCAGTAGTACCAGAGGTGTAGATGAAGCAGAGGACACCTAATTTTTGAATACGCGAAATTATGTCCTAGACCCACTCTTAAAGTCGATCTTATCGATGGCGGCGGGCCGTCGTGTCGATTGGAGATCGAGCTGGGCGGCGAGGTCTAACGATTTGGCATCCTTGGGTCGGCCGAGGACCCACAGCTGCTCGGGGCTCATCTGGAGATGACCGGCAGAGATTGAGTCGAGGAGGGCTGGAATGGAGGCTGGTGAGAGGAGGAGAGAGAGAGAGAGAGAGAGAGAGAGAGAGAGAGAGAGAGAGAGAGAGAGAGAGAGAGAGAGAGGAAGGCATGGCTTTCTCGAACCCTGAACGGCTTCACGTCGCCGTTAAGCTCGCTTTGAAGGAAGAGAGTTTTTGTAGCTGAGAGAGAGAGCGAGACAGAGAGAGATAGAGGGAGAGGAAGAGAGAGAGACAGAGACAGGGAGAAATCGTACCGAATTGCAACGAAGCGCTGGTGATGGCCGCGCGGGCTTTAGAAGTATGGACGCAGTGTGCCAGCGGCTCTTGACGAAGATTGCTGTTGATCCAAGCGGTTACGACGCCAACCTGAAATCATAAAATTCAGCCGTCCGACGACTTCGCCAAGTTCAGGCTGCATTCGGTTCCTTGCACGATTACTAAAAAAAATCCCCACCTTCGCAGCCCCGAGCCATGCCGCCACGAAATCCGTCGAATTCTCCATATGGATCGCCACCACGTCACCGGCTCGTAGCCCACGGGCCTAAATCCGATTCTAAACAACGCGGGAGCTACCGTACCTGATAGAAATTTGCGAATCGATTGACGCGGACGTCGAATTGCCGGAAGGAATATGTCCGCCCGGTTTCAATGTCGATAAACGCGGTCTTGTCGCCGTAGCGGCCGACGATCTCGCCCCAGATTTCGCCTGGAATCGAAGTTTTTAGAAATTCTTTTCGTCTATCTTGTGAAGAATTTTGCGCTGAATCCGATTCTGTCTGCAGAATTTGCCAAATAACGATATTTAAAAAGATCTACTGGATTTTCAAGCCGCAAAACATCGAGTCACCCGTTTTATGCAAGGAATGTCTTCAAAACCCTTAAAAAACATATCTTTAGTATTATTAAGAGCATATTCGGAATCAGCGTAAAATACTATAACGCATCGTAAAATAGTTTGCTTCGATAACCTAAAAACTCTCGAAAATTTTCGAAAACTGAAAAACGCTCGGTTGCCCAACACCTTAAAAACCGTTACCTATACTTTTATTATCCTTCATCCGGCGCCACAGGTCGAATTTGACCTGGAGAATTAGGTAGAGACCACTAGAAGTAGAGAAAGTTAAGGAAATTTGACGTTTCGCATACCTTAAATCTCGACCCAACGTCTGGTAGGATCGATGCCAGAAGTCACCGTAGAAATATGTGATGTAGACGAGGGAGGCGAGAAAGAGAGGGATGGAGAAGATTGAGGGAACTGCTGGAGACTGTAGAAGACCGACGACGACCAGGAATGCCGTCAAGCAATGCTGCCATGACATTCTGAAAAAGGTGGACGATGAGCGGTACTGGCCTGTTAACAGGGGGTTTCAGCAGGGGAAAACTGATTTTCCCCGTACTCCTCTGGCCGAATAACTGTATGAAAATAATTTTTAGCCTTTTACACAGTTTTTAGATCTAAAAAATCCATCTGAACTGTTTATACTATTCCGAAACGCAAATCCTTTACAAATTTTTGGAAAAAATAGAAAAACAAATCGATTTGCCACAAAATGGCCGATTTTCGGCCAAAATCTCGGATTTAATTTTTTAAAGTTTTCATTTAAAATATAGTTAAATCTACGAACGATACTATTAAAATACTTACTATTACGTTACTTGGAACTTCTAACATCATAACAAAGCCGGTCCGCTCAGATACCCCCCGATAATGAATTACCCCCCACGATTTTGGAACGGTACCTCAAAATTCCAAGCATCAACCGATCAAAATAACAGCTCTACCGGAAAGTTCAGGCTTCAGGAAAATTCAAGTTTCCTCAGGATTCCATGCTGCGCCTTCCCCCCCTCCCCAGGTAGCTAATCCTAGCCACTGTTCCACACCTTCCCCATGACGCCCCCCAAAAGATATTTGGTCATTGGGCCGAGTTGGTGGCTAGAGAGAGAGAGAGAGCGAGCGAGAAGAGAGACAGAACAATGAAACTGGTTCCCCGTATGCAAATCTCGGGATACAGCCAGGCGGCTCTCACAAATGCGATAGTCAGGAGGGGGGTGAACACATCCAAACAGTGACAGAAGCCCGCACGCACCCGGTTTTCGGCCCTTACAATGGGCACCTTTTAGAATGGAAGGGCGGATCTCGAATGGGGGGATGGAGGGCATCACGGGGAGGAGGAGGGCGAACATCAAACCAATTCTATTGAATTGAAGGAGCGCGATGGAATGGTGGAGGAATAGTTTTGGAGCAAAGAAAAGATGCGGAATTTGTAGCCTATCGTAGTTTTAAAGAACCTGATCAGGGAGGACATTTTGGTCGCTCTGGACCTTCGGTGGGGTTTCGTGCTCCGTGCCAGCGAGAAGGTCAAAAATCCCGACAGCAAAAATGCCAACAGCTAGAATCACGACAGAAATAATCCCGACAGCCATAGAAATAATGCCGACGGCCAAAAGCCCGACAGCTAGAATCGCGACAGGAATAATACCGACAACTCAAATAGCGACAGCAAAAATACAGAACAGCAAGACAAAATCCCGACGCCATACTCCCCAGAGCAAAAATCCCGACAGCAATCCGGATGACAAAATCCTGACAGCGATAATCCCGTCGGCCAAAACCCCGATAGCAAAAATACCGACAGAATACCAAGTTACGATTGCGTGTTTTTTTTGAGGTTTCCTCTAGACTACAAACCGGAAACTCACCTCAACAATGCTTCTGGCTTCTGGTGCGCATCGTCGCGTGCATCCGAGCGGGCCGAGACGGCCCTCGTCGACGCCATTCCGCACAGTAAGCACTGAAATCGCTGACATTTGCAGTGTAGCCGAATCTTTAGGACCAGAACAAAACTAAACTGAGGAACGGGCGGCATGCAAGGGTTAGTGATAGTGATGTGGAACCGAGGGTGTGGAGGGACTTAGGCTTGGCTTAGGCTTAGCTTAGGCTTAGGCTCAGGCTTAGGCTCAGGCTTAGCTTAGACTTAGGCTTAGGCTTAGCTTAGCCTTAGGCGCAGGCCTAGCTTAGGCTTAGCTTAGGCTTAGGCTAGACTTAGCTTAGGCTTAGCTTAGGCTTAGCTTAGGCTTAGCTTGGGCTTAGCTTAGGCTTTGCTTAGGCTTAGGCTTGGGCTTAACTCAGATAAGGCTTATTAGGCTCTGCGACAACGGATAGTTAATGATACAACCATGCTTTGAACGTGCGAGTGGCGCGGCTCACTTCTCCTGGCAGGCTAGCAGAAACCTTTCAGGCATTTTGGAAACACCGAACCTTTATGGTGAATGATTGAATGTTTGTGCGAGTGAAAAGGAAGTGAGCAAACCCTAAAAAACAAAAAAGACAGTCAAAAAGTGCTTTGTAAAGTTGCTCACGGCAGCCTGGGCGAAAAAGCCGGAGCCGGCGGATCGGCCGGCGCCCTCCTCCACCACGGAGATCATGTGAGAGGGGGGAGGGAACGGATCTGAAAGGGTGAAAAACGCTTGAAATCATCATCATTGGTAAGCTGGCAAAAATAGCACGCAAATATGTCGAAAAATGGTTATTTTGCAATTATAGAAAACAACGCAAAATGACGCAAAAAAGAAGTAATATCTGAAATTATCGTAGATCTGAGCTTGGAAGATTCACGGCACACTAAAAATCGTCAAATTTGAGGCGGAAAAGAGATGAGAAACGCTTTAATTAATGAATTAAAATTGGAGAAAAAACAGCAAGGCACAGCACGTTGCCGCATTACATTGCGTAACCCATTAGCTGATCTAAAATTCCGAATTTTACCCTTACAGCCTAGCGTGATTAAAGGTCAAAATCTCAACTCTTCGGTTCAATTTCATGACGTAATCGACGGGTGAATTTCCTAGCGTAATCGATTCAATTTCGCAGCTATCGAACAGCTGGGCATTTTCAAAGCCACCCCCTCGCTTCCTGGGTAGAGAAAAATTGAGGGTCAAGGATGGGAAAAATTGGCATATAGATAGGAGCGGTACGTAGCTGAACCTAAGCCTAAGCCTAAGCCGAACCATACGATCAAGCCAAAGCCTAAGCGTAAACCTAAGCTTAACCTAACTTAAGCCTAAGCCTAGGCCCAAGCTCAAGCCTAAGCCCAAGCCGAAGTAAAAACCTATAAGCCAAATGCCCCAAATCTTCAAGAATTAGCATATTCAGCTCTTCAGAAGCCCGAGGATCGATCGATGATGCTCCCAGGTGGGGGTGGAACTAGGGGAGAAGGAGGGAGGGGAAAGTGAAACGAGTCGCTCAGGCTCACACAACTCTTAGCCAACCCCCTTCGGGCTGGAAGTGAGGCGAATCTCTTGGCACACTACGGGATAATCCTCTGCACGATCCCCCACGATACTTGGGGAAAGGAGTGAAATGGACTGACAGGGGGACAGCCAAACAGACAAAACGACAGGAAGAAACATGGACAATGGGGGTGAGTCAGGGATAATATGAGGTGCGTCATTAGGAAAGTCGCGTGGTTCAAGGGATCCCAGAATCTATTGTCACTGCCACTTTAAAGGGATCGGCAAGGCAGGAATACATCGAAAAAGTTTTGCCGAAAAGCGAGCAGCGATGACGCAGCAACGACAACGACAGAAAAGGGCAAGCTAGCGCAGATTCTTTGAGAACAGAAATGACAGGGAAAAGAGCAAGCTAGCGGAGATTCTTTGGGATTTGGAATAGCTAAATCAAGGGCAAGTCAGCGGAAACCTCTTAGGATCCAAGTTCTTCAGATTCAGGGCGATATAGCAGGCTTTATTTGGGATTTTGAGTGCCAAAAATAGGGGAAAACGAGCAAAGGTTCTTTGGGATTCGAAAGGGCCACGCGGGGGTAAGCTAGCAGCGATTCCTTAGGATTCGGTGCAGCCAAGCTAGAGGCAAACTAGCAGAGATTTTTAGCGCTTCGGGACAATCAAGTTAGGGCGAAACTAGCAGAGATTCTACGGAATTTAAAAAACCAAGTTGCGGCAAGCTAGCAGCGATTCTTTG